CGCAGCTCCGCGGAGGCACCGGGCGGCCGGCGCCCCGATCCCGCCTCCACCAAGGCGCAGGCGCCCCGCCACCGCAAAGGATCTAACCGACACCACACTGAGCTTGGCGCGGACCCCCGGAGGGGAACGCAGGGTCAAGGCGAGCCCAGGGGGGTGGGCGGACTCACCACGCACACGCCGCGGGAACCGGCCGCGTACAGGCTGAGGCAGGACTGGCAGACACTCTGACCCGCCCGGCACGCCGCCTTCCCTTTCTCCTGCCCGCGGGTGGCGGTCTAGCTCCGCCCCCGCAGCCCCGCCCCCGGATGCTCCGCCCTCCGCCTGACGGCTTCGGCGGAAATTTGAGGGTTCAACCCCTCGCTGCGGGGGGCTAGGAAGGGAGGTTCACCCAGAGCCTGAGCCCTCGTTAGTCACCAAAGCCTGGGCCCCTGCCTTCATGAGGATGGGTGTCATACCTGATCCCTGCCTTTCGCACACGGCGGTCATAGGAAAAATGCTATTGTGTTAGTCCCCTACATAGCATGGTTGTCACACTCAGACTAGTGGCCCTGTCAGAATCGGGGCCCCATCAGAGATGATGGGCAAGCGATTCTTAATGTTTCTCGTAGGCAGCCGCTTTCAGAACCCGTAAAATGTTTCGGGGTGGCGGTGGGCTTGTTTTCTCAGTCATGCAAAGGACCAGCAAGGATGAAAATGGCAAGAGTCAAGTGGAGAGCAGATAACCTGAAAGGGCTCGCTAGTCTTCATGTCCAGAGAGGCCCCAGTGCCTATGCTTAAGTGCCGACCACTACCCCAAAGGACAGACACGTGACAGTGATAAAAGAGAAAGAGAAACAAGAAAGTGAATTTCTGGGAAGTATGAGGAAGTAAACAGGACCAAGAGAACCACTGTTTCTGAGTAGAGAAACTGGATCTGAGAAGACAAAAAAGGAGGTGAGCCCCCCAAATCACATGGTTATATTAGCATAATACACAGATGCCCTTTTGTGTGTGTGGTGTGCCAATTTGTGCGCCCGTGCGTGTATGTGTGTGTGCTCGTGCGTGCGTGTGTGCGTGTGTGTGAGAGAGAGAGACTGGAGGCCAGAAATCAGTTTCTCCCTCAATCACTCTCTACCTTATTTTTCTGAACACAGAGCTCACTGATTTACCTAGGCCGACTGGCCAGTGAGTTCATCTTCCATTCTGCCCCACCAACAATGGGATGGCAGATATACACAGCACCCTACTTTTTACATGGGTGCTAGAGAAATATTGAACAGAAGTACCTTCATTAAAATAAATATATTCCTTCCAGGGGGGACTGGTGTGAACAGAGGGGACTGGCGTGAAGGAGGAATCTCTCCCGTGGATGTTTGAGATCACGCAACAATTACCTTGGTGGTCCCAGCCCCTTACTTTCTGTGGCAGAAAGGAGCAGAGCCTAGCTCACAGAAGCTGAATGTTCTTTGTCCCTAATCCTATTCCAGAACTTGTGTGCAGGCTCTGGATGCATATCCTTGCTTGGAGGTGTTTGCATTCTAGCAAATTCCTATAACTAGGGAGTCTTCCAACCTTAAAACCACTCAGTTCTTGCACCTACCACTTCAGATCACTCACTTTTTAGAGTGCTTAAGACAGAGGTGGCTGTGTAGCCTAGGCTAGCCTAGAACTACGATCTATCTGTGCCACCAGCCTGGCTTCTGGTTGTCAAACCTTGAGTGATGGATTGTTTGTCCCTCTGTCCTCTGACACTGAACTCCAGAAGCAGTTTCCCTTTCTTTTGGTGAGTCAGGGCACCAGTGCAAATATGACCTCCTCAGTTATGGCTGCAGGGGATGCTATGGTGTGTGTCCATACCCATCACATAATCAAAAACAAAGCGTAAGAGTACGCCAACAAATGTGTGTTTTCCTGGATATGCCGGAGTCTTGGTTACTTTTCTATTGCCATGACAAAACAGTATGACTGAGTCACCTTCTAAAAGAAAGCATTTAATTTGGGGCTCAACGTTCCAGAGTGTTAGAGTCCATGCCAATCATGGTGGGGAACATGACAGCAGACAGGCAGCATGGCCCTGGAGCAGCAGCTGAGAGCTTGCATTCTTGTCTGCAAGTAGGAGGCAGAGATAGCTAACTGGGCATAGTGTAGGCTTTTGAAACCTTTAAGCCCACCCTCAGTGACACACCTCCTCTAACAAGGCCATACCCCCTAATCCTTCCCAAACAGTTCTACGAACTGGGGACCAAGCATTCAAATTTATGAGCCTATGGGCACCAATCTGAGTCACAGTTCTATTGCTGTGAAGAGACTGTCTTAGTCTGGCTTACTATTGCTATGATGAAGCACCATGACCAAAAACAAGCTGGAGAGGAAAAGGTTTATTCGGCTTAGGCTTCCACATCCACAGTCCATCACTGAAGGAAGTTAGGACAGGAACCCAAATAAGGCAGGAATGTGGAGGCAGGAACCTGGAGACAGGAGCTGATGCAGAAGCCATGGAGAGGTGCTGATTACTGGTTTACTCATCATGGCTTGCTAAGCCTGCTTTCTTATAGAACCCAGGACCACCAGCCCAGGGATGGCACTACCCACAATGGTCTGAATCATTCCCCCATCAGTTTCTAAGAAAATGCCCTACAGCTGGATCTTAAGGGGGCATTTTCTCAATTGAGGTTCCCTCCTTTCAGATGACTCTAGCTTGTGTCAAGTTGATATAAAACTAGCCAGAATATGCTGGGTAATGGTGGTGCATGTCTTTAATCCTAGCATTCAGGAGGCAGTGGCAGGAGATCTCTGTGAGTTCATAAACCAATCTAGTCTTCAGAGCAAATTCCAGGGCAGACAGGATTATAAAGAGAAACCCTGTCTTGAAACACAAACAACAACAACAACAAAAACTAGCCAGGACATACACCATGACCAAAGCAACTGTTATAAAAGAAGGCATTTAATTGGGGGCTCGCTTAGTTCATTATCATCATGGGAGAGAGCATGGCAGCACACAGACACACGTGATACTGGAGACATAACTGAGAGTCTACATCTTGATCCTTAAGCAGAGAGGGAGAGACTCTGGGCTTGGCATGGGCTTTTGAAACCTCAAAGCCCACCCCCAGGGTCACACTTCTTCCAACAAGGTCACACCTCCTAATCCTTATAATCCTTTCCAACAGTTCCACTTCTGGGTGACTTAAGTATTCGAATAAATAAATTTCAATGCCTATGTGGGGGACATTTTTGTTTGTTTGTCTGTTTTGAGACTGTTTCTCAGTGTAGCCTTGGCTGTTCTGGAACTCACTCTGTAGACTGTTGGTTCAAAATAATCTCAGGGCCTGTAACTTGAGGCCTATAGGACAGAAAAAAGTCTGGCTCGAGTACTTCAAAGCCTGTAGGATAGAGAAAAGCCTGGCTCTGGTTTGAGTGAGAATGAGACAGCAGAAATTAGGTAGACGCCCCTCCAGTCGGAGGGAGGATTTGGCTGCCTCTCACTGGATGGAGGTATCCCACATCACATGACACTTAACATATATAAGCTGACTTTCACAGTAATGAACTGAGTTCCTCCGTGACTAGATTCCCTATCAGGTCCGATTGTTTTGCATTGTGGGGCTGCAGGAATGGGCAGATAGGGTACTCACCTTTCCCTGGGGAATGAGGAGGCCTAGCAATGACTAGGGGAATACAGAGTATCAAGAAGCCTGGCAATCGGAGGCTCAAAGAAGCCAGCAGTAGACCAGGCTGGCCATGAACTCAGAGATCTGCCTGCCTCTGCCTCCTGTACACTGGAATTAAAGGCATGCACCACTACTGCCTGGTTTATGGGGGACATTCTTATTCCAGTCACCACAGGCTGGCATGGATAACTGTCACAAACACTCTTACCTACCTAGCTCCTTTTGTGGATTTTTCTGGGGGGGGGGTATTTTTATTTTTGGATACAGAGTCTCACCTTGTAGTCCAGACTGACTTTGAATTCCTGTTTCAGCTTTCCAAATACTGAGATTACAGGCCTGTGTCACTGTCTCAGGGTTTGACAGCTGTGAAGAGACAACATGACCTCAGAACAACTCTCGTGAAGGAAAACATTCAATTGGGGCTGGCTTAAAGTTTCAGAGGTCCAGTCCATTATCGTCATGTCAGGAAGCATGGCAGTGTGGAGGTGGACACGGTGCTGGAGAAGTTGCTGAGAGTTCTACATCTTGGTCCACAGGCAGCAGGAAGAGATAGTGACAGCGAGCAAGCTTGAGCATATGTGAGACCTCCAAGCCTGCACCCAGTGACACACTTCCTACAGCAAAGCCACACCTACTCCAAAAGGCGACATAGCCCTATTGTGCCAGTCCTGTGAGTCTGTGGGGCCATTTTCATTCAAACTAGCAGTCGCCATGCCTAATTTGCTTTCATTTCTCTTAAAATACCTAGAGCTGGGAATACTGGGTCAGTGAACATTTAATTTTATTAGGAGACTGGAGAGAGGGGCTGGAGAGATGGCTCAGAGGTTAAGAGCATTGCCTGCTCTTCCAAAGGTCCTGAGTTCAATTCCCAGCAACCACATGGTGGCTCACAACCATCTGTAATGGGGTCTGGTGCCCTCTTCTGGCCTGCAGGCATACACACAGACAGAATATTATATACATAATAAATAAATAAATAAACAAATAAATAAATATTTTAAAAAAAAGACTGGAGATGGCCCAGTGGTTAAGGGTGCCTGCTGCTCTATCATGGTGATGGTTTGAATCCCACCATTCATATGGGGTAGTTCACCACAACCTCTAACTCTAGTACCAAGAAATCTGATAGGTCTCCTGGCCTAAGGACGTTTTTTGTTTTGTTCTTTGTAGTAGGAGAGTTGCTTGTTTGTTCCCGGCTGCCCAGAACCGAAATAATCACCCAGAAACCATATTATTTGCAATGTTGTTTGGCCAATAGCTTAAGCGTATTTCTGGCTAACTCATATCTTAAATTAAGCCATCTCCATTAACCTGTGTATTGCCACAAGGCTGTGGCTTACTAGGTAAAGTTCCGGAGTCTGTCTCCGGCAGGGCTACATGGCTTCTTCCTGACTCTGCCTTCTTTCTCCCAGCATTTAGTTTAGTTTTTCCCACCTAGCTAAATTCTGCCTTGCTATAGGCCAAAGCAGTTTTTTTTAATTCATTAGTCAATAAAAGCAACACATAGACAGAAGGACCTTCCACACCAGTTCTTAATTACATTAATGGATGGAAGTGTGTGTGTGTGTGTGTGTGTGTGTGTGTGTGTGTGTGTGTATGCACCATAGCTAGCATATAGAAGCCAGA